CACAGTAAATGAGATATATAGGCTCAAAGTGGACGATCCGGGTGTCGTTCTATTAGAGGTTTTACGGTATATGGGCTTGACAATTTGACGGGCGTTTTATTAGACTGTTTACGGCATCGAAAGACCGATGAATCAACCTAATACTTTCAGAACAATTCTCGGTTGCGTATTGGTATATTCAATATTCCAATTTCAAAATCAATGTGACTCATTGCTCTACTTCACTGCCTTCATTTACTGTGTTCTTTCCCTTATATGTTCTGTGATTGCTTGCGTTTTCTGGATCTGTTGCTGTTGTTTCCTAGTGGTGAGAGGAGGATATAGAATCGTTAATACGGATGTTTACGTTAATGAAAATGAATTCGTGACTGTGGGAAAACGGCCGGTTTGAAAAAGATGTTGATCTTTAAAACTTTTGATAACTTGCTATCTCGAATAAATATTTTTTGTTGCACCACATTTTGAAGGATAGTGGTCCTAATCTTGAGACTGTTGTCTCTTGAAGTGCTATCTGCTTGGGTGTTTTTTGAAGAACGAATTTCATAATTTCAGTTAGTTATTCTGAACATTTAAATTTAATAAATTCATTGACAGATCATTTTCGGCTGTGAACAAAACAGAAATGTTGAAATTATAAGGATAAAAATGTAAGAAGAAAACATATCAATAATCAGATTGGGCCCATAACTTGAATGTACGATCAAAAGCAGAAGAACACATCCATTGTCCATCTGGACTGATATCAACGCAGAGAATTCGAGTGTCGTGTCCCTAAAATTCGAGAAAATGTTCGAAATTAGCCAAGTAAAAATACCTGCAACTGTCGCAATGGTTGCCATCCAGTGGTAGACCACATTTTGAGTGTACAATCAAAACTGGCTGAAACAAGATATTGGCCTGCAGCATCTGCACGAACCCGTGTGACGACTGACGTATGTGCTGGCATGGTATAAGTGTTTCGGCGCATTCGAAGATCCCAAACTTTCATTGAATTATCCGAGCTTCCAGTAATCATTTCATAGCTAGAATGAGAATAAAAATGAATTTAACGTTAGAAGAATTTATCGCAGCCTTACCCATTCGGCATCCACTCAACAGAATGAATTTCTTTTGTGTGTCCATCAAGGAACATAATACATCTTCCTGTTCGCATATCCCAGACTCGACCATAGCAATCATGTCCACCAGTCAGAGCAACAGAACCATCAGGGTGAAACGCTACATCAGCTACTGATTTTGAGTGTCCTTCTTGGAACAATAACTCTTTTTTCGTTATCAAATCATACATTCTCCAGGTAGAATCAAAGCTGAAAACAATTTATTTAAATTTGAAAAGGAAAATAAAGTTTTACCATGCTGTGGCTAGATGGAGTCCATTTGGATGAAATGCTAGTTTCGATACTCGCTGCGGGTGCTTCTCAATCTCTCCAATTGGTGTTTCTTGGGTCAAAGACCATAGTAGGACCGTTCCTGAAAATAATTTGTGTATTTTATTCCTATTACCAAAGCCTTACCATCATAAGCACCTGAAACTACATTCAACGAAGATGCATCGTTTTGTGTAAAAGCTCCTGGATGAAATCGAGCACATCCAGCTTGTGCAGAATGACCAGTATACTTCATTTCCTGAGCACACTGTTCTCTTTTCCAGACTGCTACTGAACCAGACCAACCAGCAGTAACTAAAAATGAGCAATTTAACTGGAACAATAGAAACATACACTAACCAATATGCTGTGAATCTGATGAAAATTCACAAAAAGCGACAGGACGAGTATCGGCAACTTGAGAAGAATGAAGGTTAATTTGTTGTACCCATTTGTGAGCTTCTTGCCGAGCCAAAGCTTTCTCGTGCGCAGGTTGAGCGGCATCCTCGCGTGCTTTCTCCAGTCTGAAAATTGAATTTTTTCAGGAAAAAAAAAGTTTTTTCAACCTCAATTTAGCTTTTCTAAGCGAAAAATCGGCAATTGCAACTCGTGCCTTACGGAGCTCTACTGGTCCTCTATGGTACCATGTCACAGTTTCTTCATCGGCTTTATCGGCATTAACCTGCAAAAAACTTGAATGAAACTATAAATACAATTAGGTTAGAACCTCGTCGGTATGCAATACAGCAGCAATTTCGTCTTCAGACATCGTAGAAAGTAGAGCTCGGAGTCTTTCTCGTCTATCCAGTGCATCTTCTCCGAATAAGCAAATTGGTTGGTTTAAAGCACGAAGTTTCAGTTTTACCTGAAAGTATTTTCAAAGGCTTCATTAAAATGAAAAAAACTATTTCTATTTTGTACCTGAACATCGTCTGTAGGGAGCGTGAGTGTTCGAGCTCGTCTCCTTCTGTCGAATTCAGCGAGCATCTCTGCATCGTGACGAGAGTCTGCTTGATTGGTTACTTCCATTCTTTCCAGAGATACTGTTGGTCCATGGCTTTTTTGAGCCGAATTCTGGAAATAAAAGAATATATTTATCACAAAAAACTAACTTTTCAGACCAAAATCGCATTCACACTGTCTGCGTTGGCTAATGATCCAAACTGTTTCGGAGGTGCAGGAACTGCGAACTTATCGTCTTCACCCATTATTTTTCTAAAATATTGAATATGAAATAGCAAATTCCGAATAGAATGAACAGAAGATTAAACTTTTTAGAGTGAAAAAAGAGAGCTGAATGAAACTACAGTAGTTCAAAGGAACATTTCAAATGCACCCGAGTGACTCTCGCACCGACAAGTTTACTGTTTTTATTAGCCAATACAAAGCAACAACTTCAAGTTTCTTTTTCTTCTTTCCAATGAATGTTGTCAGCAAACCCTTTAATGTGGTTATGCATGATTTGTTTTTTAAATACAAAAAAATACATGACATACATTTTTTCGCATGCATGCATTAATTTTTTGTTTTTAAAAATTACAAAAAAAAATACATTTTTATGTCATGCATAACCCCATTAAAACTAATTTTTTCGCTCAAAAAATACGAAAAAGGATTCAACTAAAAATTTTGAAGAAGCCAGCATGTGCGCCCCATCGCGATGTGAATGAAGATTTTCTCGCTCTTTTTTCCACTATCCCTGCTTTATACTGCTAATTAATGTCATTACCTTTAATACGCACAGTTAGCAGTAGAATAACTTTTGGAGCATTGAAAACGCTCTCATTTGTCTGAAAAAATTTTTGTTCGGTTCCAATTCTCGAAAATACCTGCAATTGTATTTTGTTCATTTTTAATGCTCACCGTTGTTCCCAGTGATATTTTCCTGGTTCTTTGTTCAATAGTCCTCAACTTTTTAGAGTCTTCGAATATGCGGAAAATGAATATGATAGTCGCTATGGATACAGAAGGAGGAATCGGTAAAAACGGAGTTCTACCATGGAGAATCAGAAAAGATATGCAGTACTTTGCAGCTGTCACTAAAAAAGTATCAGACCCGGCAAAGGTAATTTATTTCTTATTATTTTAAAATAATATATTGGTTTTGCAGAGGAATGCAGTACTGATGGGCCGGAAATGCTGGGAAAGCATTCCAGAATCCCGTCGTCCTCTTCCTGGTCGCTTGAACATAGTTCTCAGTCGCCAGCTTGAAAAACAAAACACCGATAACTTGATTGTAGTGTAAGTCGTTCCTAAATGATATTGATTTCCTACAAGTTCATTTCTTCCAGAAATTCGCTTGAATCTGCTTTGAAACTTCTCTCAGAAGCACCCTTCGTTGATTCTATTGAAACTATTTGGAATATCGGAGGAGCTGAAATCTATGATCTTGCGCTTCGGGAAAATTTAGTCGACGAGATCCATTTGACACGAATTCACAAAAAGTTATATCTGAATGATTTTTTAAAAAATTAATTTCATATTATTCAGTTTCGAGGCTGATGTTCACCTCAAATCGCTTGATTTCAACAAACTGAAGAAGATTATCGATGCTGAAGCGTCTTCGGAAAACTCGGAACTTTTTGAAGAGAATGGCCTACAATTCGAGATTGGGAAATGGAAAATCATTGAACACTGCTAATTTTTGTATTCTAACCTCACTACTCATTCCTCAATTGTCGGGTGTGAAATGTTTACATTGTAATTATGAATCTGTCATATACTTTTGACTGTTTATATTATTTACTATCGTTCCTATGCGATCTCTATGCTTACAACAATTTTTTTCTCTCCAGATTCTGACTCTAATCTTACAGTCAAAGTTTCTCCCAGAAAACATTGAACGTCTTGGAAAACTGGTTTTCAACACATTATGGCGAACAAGAAGGTAAGATATTTATAGTAAATTTGACATTTCGAACCAACAACCAGAACAAAAAGAGCACCGATGGTTCAACGATGAATGGTAATCCAATAACGACATCCGGATCTGCTCAAAACGTGCCGCAGAATCTACAAAATGCAAACGTTCCGTCATCCAATCAACACAACAACAATCCCGCGTCTTCCAGTAAGTAACTAACTGTAAGAAAATTGAGTTTAAGATTTTTGTAATGTGTGTAATAAGATTTTATGAGTAAATAAAAAAAAACACTCTTTTAGCTATTCATATAGTAGTTCCCATAGTGTAATCATATGCAAAACGTAACCTCTCTATCCGGTAAGAAAAGAGAATGGAAAGGAAGGCTGGAGGGCAAACATATAATAAAAAAATTATAAAAGAAGAGAAAGCCCACCATCACAGGCACGGTTCTCCTTCTCTATCTCTCCTCTCTTCCCATTCTTTTCGTCGCGACAAACCTCCAGGTGACAAAAGCTGACTTTGCTGCCATAAATGAAACGTTTGAAATTGAATTTTAATCCATACCGCTTGCACATGTGACGATTACATTTTTCATGTCCCGCCCAGTTTCCCAAAATTAACTTTTACTGCCCCAATCATATACCAGGTAGTCATCTCAATTAGAGATTCATTAAGCGCTCAGGTTTTCAACTAGACAAATAATCGGGTCAGATCGATTCGATGTCATATTTCTTTTATGTGTTCTCGTCGGATTTTCAAGTAATTTTTGACGGCACCGCTCATTGCTATGAAAATTGTTTATCTAGCTGCAAAGATATCAGACGTTCTTATGGCAAAGGTATATAGTGTATATCGACTTTTTCTCTGTTTTCTAACCCAGATTTTCAGATGGAACGGTAACGCCAGCTTCCACGGCTACAAATACGACAACTGTGCCGTCTGGTCAACAATCAAATCAGTCACAAAACCAACAGCATCATCAAAAACCAACGAACACGTCTTCCTCCCAGCAAACGAATTCTTCGAAACAACCTATGAAAAAAACTCAACAGGGTGAAGTAGAGAAGGTGAGTTCTTTCGAAACGGTTCGTTCTAGAAGACATGTATCTTGAGTTCCGTTATTAGAAGTTCTGGTATAATCAAATATAGCCCCCACCTCAATATGACCCCCACCTTATAAACAACTATACTATATTAGAGCCCCCCCCCCCACCAGTACAAAGTGGGGGCCTATACTTGAAGAACCTGGTATTCTTAAAATATGGCCCCCACCCCTCCCTGCCTTATTCAATTAAAGGCCCCCGACCATTCAAAAAGGGGGGAGTTGAACTCGAGGAGTTGAACTTGTGAGAGCGATGATTGAGGGTGCGGTGCCGCTACCGACTGAGCCACGCGGGCAAAGAAAAAGCGAACGCCCGATTGCATACATAAAGGCGAGGACGACAGCTGCACGCAGAGTGACATTAAGCGTTGTACACCGTAAACTACGAAAAATCTTCTGTCCCCCCACCTTTAAAGCTCAAAATTTGCATCATGTTAAATTGCATCTTATTTTGAATTGGAATGGACCATTTAAAAGTGGAGGGTCTATATTTGAATTGGTGGGGGCTTTTTTTGAACTGCTGCAAGTGTCTAGATTGTTGGAGGTGGGGGCTATACTTGAATTGGGGTGGGGGCTATATTTGAATTCAGCCGAAGTTCTAATTTAGCACTTGCTTCTCATTTCGTTAAAGATCTACTTGCAGATAAGCAATTCTGGCGGTGGGTCACAAGGGAATCAAGGCAACGTCGGTTTCAGAAGTAGTGCGAATAAAGATCAGAAAGCGAAAGAGAAGGAGAAAGAAAAGTGAGAGAAAATGATTAAGTTCAGAAGTGTGACCCATTTCGTTTTCGTTCGTTCAGAAGTTACCAAAGTCGACAAGGCAACCAGTCCAACAACCATCATCACAATCCGAATCATTTCACAGGAGGCGGTGGAGGCGGGAACCCGCAAAACCATCGGAAAAAGGACAACAAGGTTTGTAAAGGCATACTGATATCGACCAAGAAAAAAATGTCTGGGACTCCTGATCTCTGTTACAGAATCGGGATCACTCGAACCAAAGCCATCGAGGAGGTGCATTTTCAAACAACTACACTAACCACAATCAGCAGTCTCATGGTTATTCAGCCGATACTGGAAAGTCAGCAAGATTCCCATCAAATTCTTCCTTATCTTCTTCTGGAACCACGCCCACTCTTACTGTAGCTCCAACGCCCACACCTACTTCGCCTTCAACTACACCGGTTGTGCAAACTCCTGCAAAAGTTGCTCCTGCTGCTGCTACTGCCGTTTCCCCAGTTATCACACATGAGTCGAAAACAGTGCAAACAGATTATGTCGTCGTTGAGGAAAAAGAAATGCCGCAAGTTGCCAAAAAAGATGAAGATTTGTGTCCATACAAGAACACAAAAATCAAGGAAATGGATACAGTAATAGCGTTTCAAGAGGTGGGATTTCGAGTTAACAATTAATTGAATTCTCGATTTTCAGCATGATGAATGGAATAAAGTTGAGTTGATGTGTGAATTGATCTCATACCTTTCGCCAAGCGACCTCCGTCTTCTCTCAAATTGCATTGATGGGCTGACTCGTCCGTATGTGATGCAAATGAAACCGATAGAAAAAACGGCAAACGGTGTGGATCCACTCGGCGGTTTTCCACCATTCATCTGTGCTCCGATTCCTGTACTACCGTCAACCTTTTCGCCAGCTAGTTCTGAATCTGTTATTTGCAATCAAAGAAACATGGTCAACAACTTATTTTCCTATCAGCAGCATCCACCTGGAATACCGCCTCCGCTTATGTCAGTTGTTTTGAGATTCAGAAGACTTTATTAAACATTTCAATTTTCAGGCCGACTGTAGTATTCCCAGTTGATGAAGCAGTGCAGCATCCGTCATCATCTACTCCTTTGAATCCACCAACGTCAAGGGAAACTGGAAGCGGGACTAAATCAACAAGCAGCACACCGATTGATATCAGCAATCAACCTGATGGTCAGCAACAAGATTCTGAATCTGGGTCCAACAAAGGTATCGGTGGTTCTGTTTCTGCTGACCTTTCGGTTTCAAAAACAACTCCGGAACTAGAAACGAATCATAATCCTGCTCCGAATCTCGTACAGTCAAATTCATCTTCTGCTAAACAGACTGGTCCACAAATTCCAGAGGAATCTGAAAAGTTTTTCAGTAATGTCAAAGACATTGCAAGCTATTTGTATTTATTGATCTCTGTGTGTGCTTCAACGAATAGAAGATCAGCAGCTAAGCTTTCGGACTATGCAAGTAATGTTCTCATTCGAGAAAAGTCTCAGATCTTCGAACGCATTCCAAATGAGCTTGACCAAATTGAACTTCTTGAAGAGATTGGAAAAACAGGTTATTACCAACATTTTTATACAGATTTGCCAACATTTATTTTTCAGTAGTAGCTCTGATTCATCACCCCGCTGTAACTCTCGATGATAAAATTAAATACATAGATATTCGAGACAGTTTACGAACGGAACACGAAAACCTGTTCCGAATGTACTACTCGCCTGAAAAAGTAGCCGAACGGAAGCGACAAGCTGGCATTTTGGAAGGAGGAGTCGGGGAATTGGATGATGGAGAAGGTTCGGACGACGGAGATAATGAAGATGTCGAGCGGAGGTTTGATGTAAACGGTAAGTTTTTGGAAGAGTTGCGATCTTTTTATAACCTACAAACCTTCAGAACCATTCTATCCCTCTTCTGGATATCAACAACCAAAACCATCTTCAGCTCCTGGGACATTCTTTATTACTAGGTTCATCGGACGACAGATTGAGAAAAATGAGAATATGTTCAGTATAGAAGTGAGTCATAAACCTAGAAAACGCTAATAACAGATTTAAACTGTTTTTCTTGCAGATTCATTGGAGTGATGGGGATCGAACTTTTGCTCAAAGATCAAGAGAACAGATTAAAGGACTTCAACATCGGCTTCTTGACGAATTTGGACAGCAACGAAGTGAAAAGTATACTCATCACGGAATGAATTCTTCGTTTTCTTCATTTGATGAGGATCATAAGAAGTTGTCCACGAGTACTTCAACGATGGAAAGTACGCTAGTTTGATCATTTCGGTGGTTATTATAATATAGTTTCTTTAGCGACATTTGCTCTATCTGGTGACCGCATTGTTCCTCGTCTGCCTCGTGAAGCCACACCTGCTCAACACGTTCAGTATATAAACGAATTGTCAGATCTTCCAGCTCGCATGATGCTGTCAAGAGTGATGTGTGAAGAGTTCAACGGAACGAGAGCTCGTACAGACGATGTGAGTATATTTTTGACGGTCAAAAAATAGTAAAATTCCGGTTTTTTGTTGATATAATAGAGAAAAAATAGAGGATCGGATGTTATATTCTGATGTGAAGCTATTACAGGAGGCCAACGAACTATCGGATGGATTGATATTCTCTCGATGGAAGAATCCACGTGCCAAATGTCCACAAAGCTTCTACAATCGAGACGAGAGTGGAAATATTAATCCTCAGCCATATCCTAAAACCATCCATCCCTTCTTGCATTCCAATATACCACAAACACAGTCACAGGTCAGTTTTTATAATGAATACCATTTGTTCTACAACAGCCACATATACCATCAGTTTGTCTCAAATTTATTGTAATTTCGACCTTTAACTATCATTATAACAGCTGAATGCTTTTTGATATAAATCTTGCAGAAACCGGGAAGTTTTGAGATAAAGTGGGTGCGTTCGGCACCAAAATGATACTTTAAAGCAAATTCTTTATATTCCAGATCTTGCTTCCAAGTTGTTCCAACTGCGGAGGGCAACATCTGATGAAAAATTGTGAAAAGGCAACACTTCTGGAAAGAAAGGGTAAGTGAGGAACATTTGAAGTGATTTTTAAAAATTCAATCCACATAGGAGTTCTAAAATGAATATTTTTTGAAGACAGTCTAACTGCTCAGTTTATTCAAATAAATTATGGAGCGATTTAGGGTAACAAACCGATATTTCATTATTTTCTGGTATACCCAAATAGGCGAAAAATAACCATTTTTGCTTACTTTAAATCACCCCATAAGATTTTTTTCGGATAAAAAAGGAATCATAGTGTTAGACATTCATGAGATGGGTTGAACATCCAACACTTAACCTTGTACTTAACCTTATAAACCATATAAACCTCAACCTTATACACACATGAAATTCAAAAAAAATCATCCGGGTGGATTGAATATTAAAACCTTTTTTAATTTTTTGTTCAGCTTTAGCAGAACACAAAATGCGTTACGAAGCCGAAGGAGGACCAATGTCTGCAGCTATGTCAGCATCTACTCAAGCACCGGGTGGAATGGTCCCTGTTTACGCTCAAATGCATCCCCAAATGCATCATCCTGTGTTTATTGATAATCAAGCGATGATGAATGCCAATCATTTCACCCATCATCAACACCAACAAATGATTCAAAGCAACATGTACTTAAACGGTGAGCGACGGGTTCAAACTTTGAAAGTTTTCAAAATGTATATGATTTTTAGGTCAATATCGGCCAAATGGACAATTTGCTGAATCACCAATGGCAATGTTCTATTCTCCTCCACCTCAGGTTGTTTCAAATTGTGGCAATTCGAGTGGTAACAACAGTAACAACGGAAACAATGGAGGAGGAGTCAATCAAAACAGCAATTTCTCATAGAAACCATCTTCAATAATTCCTAGTCGTTATCTTTTTCATGGTCATCATCTATTCATTTCTTGTGATTTCTCTCTCACCGTCTTTCTATTCACCTCTTTTGTTTTTTCTAATTATTTACCTCATCGGTTCTATTTCTCTGCAGTTCTCCACAACGTGTATTTTCTGAGTTTCTCTGATCCATCACACATCTCTTTTGCCATCAGTCACCTTTTTTTGAAATTTTTTTTTTCTGGTTCATAATTCAAATGTTTTACTAAGCAAACTTCAGGAATTTCAAAACCCCTGTGCTTCCTCCCGTGCCACATATTGTTCATCTCTTCTCGGATTAGTTTTATTCCTCTTGTTTTTTTTTCTGTCCCCAACTGCGGAATGCGAGTCATTTCCCAATTCTTCTCGCTCTTTCATCTAGGCATTCTTCCAATTTATTCACAATTCTGTTTATATATACGTATTTTATTAGTGCTAGTTTTTGCCGTTTTCCAGTTTGTGACAAATACTATCCCAACAAGACCTAGTGAATACGCTATCAGATATTCCCCACAATCTTTTTTCCTCGAATTTTTGATCGCTGTAGTCCTATATTCTTGCTGGGAAAGTATATAAGCTCTTCTCCGTATATGTTCCTTTTTTTTCATTGTTCTGTACACTTAAAAGGTTTTAAATGTAAAATGAACGGTTGAAGTAAATTCACAATTGTAGTTCTGAAAGCAGGGTTTGGTGAAAAGGACTTCATAACCACGACTTGAAAAAAGAAGATTATTACAATGAGAATGGAAGGTCGTGAATGAATAATTACAAAAACAACTAATTATCTACATTTTGGGGAAGGAAAAGTGGAAATACAAAACAGCAAAAGACAGAATGGAATATATCAAAAATTTCAAAACCGGAATTTTGAGACTGAAAAGTATGCAAATGAGCAAGAGAAATGCATCATTATGTATCTCCGGATACCTGGGAAAAATTTTCCTAACTGACTATCCGGTGCTGTCATTTAAGATTGTTTTGATGAGGTGACAGCTTCCGGCAGCTGGGTAGGGGGAAGCGATAGAAAAAAGACTGGTTGCAGATAAAAATTGAACAAAATGGCAGGAAATGACAATGTTGAATTGGAGAAATGAGTGACGAATAACCTGGCGATCATGAGACAAAAAGCTGGAATAGAAAGGAGGCGGTTAGTTGGGGAGAAATGATAAATTGGCTTTAACTGAAGTCGTTTTTGAGGGGAGAAGAGTAAGAAGAAACTCGTATAATGTCTATAATTGAATAGCCAGTTCTACCGTTATTCTTAATACAAGTTCTGAACAAGATTGATTCAAAATCCAGATTATAAGTTAGTCTGAAAAATCAGAATCTTGGAACAACAGTATAACAAGCTAGTTAGACATTGATCGAGTTTCCTGAGACTCTAGGAAGGTCTAGGACATCTAATAATACAATTATTGCAGGCGGGAAAAGAAATTAACGAGTGAGACTCGAGAAAAAAAACGGTACAATGAAAATGATAGAAGTGAATGATGCAGAAATTTGATCAAGAAGGGGAGGAATTGACTCGGGTAAAGAGGAGTGAACTGGTTGTTTGAAGAAGGGGACCAGCATTTGAACATGTATCTGGGATACAACACATCTTGACACAAGCATGTAGAATTAGTGATGGGCACGCGAATATGAAGGACGGCTGAAATTGAATGATGCAGTTTATTGAGATATTTCAATGAATGAAGTTTTTTGTTTGCTAGTTGCTCTGAAATATAAATAACAACTTACTTAGTCATTGCTGCGACGTGCCGTCTTCCTTGAGCATGAACCTGTTTAGATACTACTGGAACATCACAACGGCAAACGGTGCAAAAGAGCACTTCTTGGCGACCGGATCCGCTGTTCTTCATAACGAAAATCTCGTTCTCTTCTTCTTCAGGGGTGCGAACTGGAAGCATAGCTTCTAAAAGTTTATCGCGGACTCCCAACGAATTCGCCAAGTTGACAATAAGACGAACGGTAAGATCCGCTTCTTCTGCATTCGCTGGATGAGGTGGCCTGTTTCCCCTGAGCGCATCTTTAGCACGACTTCTGATGTCTCTCAGTCGCGCGTTGTATTCATCGGCAGCCACTGGTCTTTGGCGACGGAGACGGACTGCGGGAACGCGAGGAGCTTCCACGACATTTGAAGCGAAACGAATACTGTGTTGACGAAGGCATCGCAGAAGATGATCTACATCGACTTTGTTGGCTCGTCCATAAACACGGAGATCCGCAAGATGACAATCGGCCAATCGATCAGTTACAGATGATTCCGCCGGGTATATCGTTTGAACTAGAGCATCAAGGTTTCGATGGTTTTGAGGCAGAGCAAGTGCTGGGGTGCCTTGTCTGAAATTATTTGTATTGTTTCAACGTCCTAAAAAGGGTTTTTTGGGTGGAAATAATCTTACCTCAAGCTTCTTGGCGAGAAAATTTCAATCATTCTATAAATAGTGATTCCTTCTCCGATGGTCATTGGTAGTGGTGGAGATCGAACAGTATCATCAATATAAGATGAGTCGTCAGAAGCAACGCTCTCATCATCTCTGTCATTTACAGTAACATCATCATGCTCTAAGAAAGGTGGCAATCCCTGTGCCACCCTCCGTTCATTCTCAATGTTTCTTAGTGTGTCAGTACTGCGACGAATAGCATTTTGCATTTCAGCTGTTCTTTCTAGGTGTCGCCTGCGAAAATTACTGCTCATATTGTCAAATGCTGGATCTTGTCCATTCCAATCCAATAAATCTCTCATGAATTGCTCATTTCTAATCGCTGCCTGTCTTTCTTGAGCACTTTCCCTTTCTCTGCGTAGATGTGCTTCTCGTACAACATGGAGATTTCTGTTTGGATCGGCTTCTGCTTGGGCGAGCTCTTCTCTTGCTAATAATATATCCAAATCGGGCACTGGTTCTTCCTCGGGGACTTCGGGCTCTGGTGGTTCTGGTTCTATCAAATGTGGTGGGCGGTACACGACCATTTCCTACAAAAAATGTACAATAGAAGGAAACAAACACTTATATTTTCTATAAGCTAAACAAGGGAAGAGCTTACTCTCATCCAATCGTTGTCTCCTCGTAGAGCTAATCTTTCCAACGGATTCTCAAGTTGCCAACTAAAATCGAAGTAATCTCGCGGAAGCTCTCCAGTGTATAGCTTTTTCAATGCGTTGATTATTCTATACGTAGTTTTTTCAGCATCATTCAGTTTGCCCAATTCAGACGAAATTCTAGCAGCTATGAACGGTTTCGGCATTTTTGGTTCCTTCCCTGCTTTTATTCTAATAGCATTGAATACCGCTTTTAGGTGTTCTGAAATTATGATAACTCAGATGAACTGGAGTTTTCAGGCTTACCAAAGAGATCTGGAAGCGAATTTTCAGTAAGCTTATTAATTGGAATATGTGCTCCAAGACGTTCGAAATTTTCGTAGTTCGGCAACTCCAATTCTTGTTTTCGGGTCTTCGGCAATTTGATGAGATTCAAGGCGGTAAGGAGTTCTGAAAGCTAGGAAAATTCTTGTTTTCGAATATGATTTCAAATAACTTACGCATAAACTGAAAGTTGATTGGAACTGTAGCAGGCACCTGATCACTGATTTTTCTACATTCCGGGCACTTCATCCCCACAATTACTGCATTGTTCGTATGAGTACCGCAGCTGACGACACATCGAGTGCAGAAAGTGTGACCACATGCAAGAACTCTGGCTTGGTTTTTCGTTGGGTGATACTCATCATAGCAGACACGACAGTTTTGAGTGCTGTCTGCCGCTTCTTTGATAATTTTTAAATTTGGAGAATCTTCCCCTACTAAAACTTCCTCATCGCTTCCTTCATCTTCTTCTTCTTGCATGATCTCCGTGTCGGTTCCATAGTCAGCGTCGGCGTCTGAGAGCACCTCCGCCGACTCAGACATTACGGATTCTGTTGGAAAGGATGCAGTTGAAGAAAATATGAATGAGCTTCACCGAAAATGGTCACTGAAAATGGATAAGATTACAATCGATCATGATTGGCAAGCGAAATTCAAAAAGATAGACCAGAGAGAAAAAAAAATGATATTCAGAAGACAATATTCGAGAAACTTTTGAACAGGACGTTCTGTTTGGTACCGGATAAAAATCAATAGGATTGACTTTATATTGGAAAAGAATAACTGCAAAGATTACAACGAGCATTCAAGAAAAATGATGGGTGGTACGAAAATTTGTAGTTTGTAGACTTGGATGCAAATAAAAAATGTCTTATGTTCGCTATAAAGGGAAGATATTCACTACTAAGTCATCACTACTTCTGTTCAAATCAATCCGGTTTTTTTGAGAAAGAGATTATGACAAATGAAAAATGGGTAGATTGATGGGAAGAATGGAAAAGAGAACTATTGATTAAGTGTGTTCAATGGTAACGAACGAAGCAATAGCTACCGTTTTTCCAAGCAATTGATTGAAACTCATGTGAGAAAACGTTCACGAAAGGTGGGTTCTCCGTTTCAAGACCGTTTTTCGGCTGTCCGTGAACACTTCCAAGAGTGTACATAGAACACTTTACGCGCCTTTTTCCTGCGTCTCTTGTCCGGTTTTTCGGTCAATATATCGAGGTGTAGAGACGGAGGCATACATGGGAAAACAGGGAAGAAGAAGAAGGAAAGGAAGCAGCTAGCCGTAATACTGAACACACGACTCGTATTTTGATATTTGGATTTTTTGTGGTCTATGACAAAAAAAAACTCTTGTTTTCTGTTGTCGGAATTACTCTTTCTTGCAAGCTCACAAGGGAAGGTTTTTTAGACAACGGTTGAGAATTTGCTCAAGGTTTGTACAAAGGTACTTTCGAACATGCTGAATCCGAACTCGAAAAAAATTTTTAGCCCGTTCTCAAAGGCTTTCGAAATATTGCCTCTGAAAGTATTTTCAGTGCTGAATTTTGACCAAAAACATATATTTTTCGTGGTTTGAAACTCGATTTTCAGGATTTTTTAAAGTGCGAAACAAACACACCTTGAAAGTGATTTCTTGAAAATTTTTTGAAAAGTGCGAAAAGTTGTTCCAATTATTCAGAAACGATAAAAATAACATTCTGACAGATTTTGAAGCCCAATGTTGCCTTTGGGCTCAAAAAATCTCCAAAATCTGATTGTTGTTAGAACTTTGACCGTCCCTAATTTCTGAAATATCGCTTGAAGTTCACTGAAACCTATAGAAATAAGTTCAAATCTTGTATGTGATCGATTTAACAGTACCCCACCTCGACAAGAGCAAAATTGAGCAATTTTCAGATGCTGAAATTTTCGTTTTTAACGATAGGAGGATGTAAGGACCGGTCGAAAAGACCATTATCTATTTTTTCCTCAAACTCTCATAAAATCTTTTTTTTTCTTTGGAAACTTTTGAAATTAATAAAAAAGTGTCATATAGTGCCTAGGGGGGCAAACTTGAAATCAAAAATTAGTTTCAAAAAATGCAAAAAAAGTTTTACCACAGAGGAGGCCGAACCAGCATAGTCACTCCTAACGAGCCACCTCTTACCACAACACCACACAACCGATATTTTCCTCTCACGCGGAATTAGTAGAGGAGGGAGGGGGAAGCTGAAATTGCCTGCGCGGTAAAATCGGCCCAAAATTTCAGACAAAACCTTCCCTTGTCAGTTAAAAGTTTCGGTGTTTCTAAACGAGTCTGCAAATACACACGTGCTTCTCAAAGAAAACTATTAAAACGACTAATAAACCAAAATAATGTTTAAAATAATGTGTCGACATCGGAAAAAAGCCTTCATGAACCCAAAATGTACCAAAACGAACTGTTATAAATACACAGCATTGAATTGTTTGTCCTTTGTTCTCATGTTCTATTTATTCTGAATAATTTTTTGTCAAGATTTTTTTGGTATCACAATATAATGAAGTAATTCAAAATTACCAAATTAGATGTAATTGTGGAATCAGGATTCTTCGAATCCATATGTTAAAATTAGAAAAAAATCACTCTATCTGTATGTGCTCTTCTTGATACATTGAAATCTAGTTTTCCAGGCTTCTAGAGAGGTAGTTGCTGCAAAATAATCGTAAGACTCATTCAGTATAAAAATGATCTCTTGTCAGAATTTGTAACCGGCGGATTTACATTATCCCCCGTTGTTTCCATTTCAACATATTTATGCCTCTTTCATTCGATGAATCATACATTTCCCATGTAAGGCGAACATGTAATTTTTTCTATTAGATAATGCTGTTTTCGAATTTTTAAAGCATGGTCATATGTCGCAAAATGAAAATTATAGTCAAATTGTATTAATAACTGAAATTATTTTCTATAGAATTTAACTATTTATTTTGTGTTTGACGATTTGCCGTTATTTTCTTTAAAACAAATCTAGGAAATTAAAAATTACGTAGTAGAAAACAAACGGAAAAGGAAGTAAATCGATGAAAAATCCGGAAAATAATAATATTTTCCTTGCACAAATATAAAATTTCTATTCCCGCCGAGTACCGTAAGCTTAAAGGCGCATCGCTCATACATTTCATGTGTATTATGCGGATCACTTCCGAATTACCGCGAACATAAATATTCTCTTGATGAACACCAATTTTTATTTAAAAAACTTCGATTTTTGAATGTTCTGCATGCCTTACACGTTCGAATTTCTAAAACACTTTTCAAACCTATTTAATCTATTATAAAACACAATTTTGAATTTCTCTCATTCTCATCGTTCTCTTGAGTCAACTCGAATTAGTTTTCTGCTTCTATTTCGACCTATAATTCAGTTTTCGCAAGAAGGTCTCACACCACTCGATCATAAAGAAGTAACGAGGTCGCCTTGGTCTCATTCATCCCTCTCTTCCCTTTTTCTCAATCCTTTGTATTTGTGGTTCTCATAAGAATATAAGCTGTTAGATATATGGTGTCCCGACTCGATTTTCAGTTCTCCGATCATTACTCTTGATGACATAGTTTGTTCAATCTGTGAAGCCCCAGCTTATAACTCTGACGTTTTTAATGGCTCCTCCCATTCGTTGTCTCCTCTCTTGTTTCGCCCAGCCAGGTGCGAAAGGGTATTCCTCCGCAAAATAGCTTATTATTATTTTTCGAATGGGCGATAGCAAAAATTAATTTGTATTTTTTGCTTGTTTTGTCATACCAGACAACTCACTTCCTGTTTACTTTAGTATCTCTGTTCTTCCTTTTGTGCTTACCAGAACACGATTTCCTATTGTTAATTATCTGAACTAATTTTTTTTCCAGATCGATCTCAATGAGGATAGCCATCCCCAATGCATTATTCATCTTACTACTAGTTTACATTTCAACTGTAAGTAAATATTGTATATGATTTTATCCATTTGTCTTATTTTCAGACTGTTACTACACAATCTAGAGAGTACTCATCTCATCGAGGACCGTTCCGAACCAGTTATGTTTTCATGACAGTACATAATAAAAGAACTGGAGAGCAGTCCAAATCGTGTGTCAATTATCAGCAATATCTACGAGACGACACTTCGTCAGCATTAATCGGATACAATTTCGAGACTGCTCATCCGTTTGTTTTCAAGTTTTGGGGAGGTTTGTGGGCTTCTGGAAAGAGCTTGAAAAGTAATGCTCCGATTCAGGAACGTACAATCGAACAAAAGTCTGCCCACTACCATCCAGTTCTTCCGGAGATCAGATAGTGTATAATGATGGAGTCGTTCCTTAGACTATCGGATTGAAGATGACGGAACACCATGCACCAGGCCATTTGTGCAATCTCACACAGCATTCCGAAACGCCAGCCAATTTACAGTTAGTTTTTCATGGAATTTCAAACTAAAAACAATTTTAACAATATCAGATTGACACTTTGAAACAACATGGAGCTAGTGTTTCTCTTCTAGTTTTGGATCGTGGAAGGATGTTCATTAACACTTGGAAAGATTATTTGGTAAGTCTTGATATGATTTGAAATCAAAATCTATGTTGAGATTTTCAGTTCTCTGATTTCTTTGATCCATACATCAATAGTTCTGCTGCGATTCCAACATTTTACATTTATCGCTCGGATTTGATCGGAAAAATTATGGTAATCATGAACCTGGAATTATCTGTTTCCTAATGTTTCAATTATATAGACTGTCACTAATAAGGAAGACATGGGCGAGGACAACATCGAAATTCGTTTCCATCGTCCTTCTGGTTTTCCGATCGATCCATCATTCATCGTCATCTGGCTCATTTCAATGACGTGTGTCGCTGGAGGAGGATTCTGGGCTTTCAACAGGCACCGGTAAGTAAAGACGACTACAACAGCCAATGTGTTTTGATATGCAGTCCCTGATACGAGTGGTAAACACCTACCGATATTTAAAAAATACCAAAAGGGGGACCCTTATAAAAATTTTCACCTGCTGATATTTTTGGAAAAATTACAAAGAGCACATAAGGGAGGACCCTTATCTGATTTTTACACCTATTGATATTTCGTCGGCCGAATTTTCAGTATCAGGTCCTCTTCGATATGTGAATCTGATTTCGATAGTTTTGCTTCCGCATATTCTGACAAAAGTCAAATATTTCATAAATTCAGCGCCGGAAAGGATCTTTCCCTGGCACAGCGAATGGATGAAGAAGAACAAAAATCGAATGAGTCGGCAAAGAAGGGATTCTTCGACAAGTTTGCAGGAATGGTTACAATTGCTCTTATGATGGTCACACTCTGTGGAGTACTTCTTCTTGGATACTTTTTCAGATCTGTTTTAGGTAAAAGATCTGATAAATCAACCTTTTATAAAATATGTTTTCAGTTATATTCTTCAACATTTTCCTGGTAATCTTTGGAACGTGCAGTCTTTACGGTTGCATTCGCGGCTTCTTCTCGAATTTTTCGTTATCTAGCCATCGATGGTATAAAGCAAAAATGGGATGGATGCCGACGTGCTGTGGTGAGGAATTACATTAAATCTACCAAAAAAACAATAATTCCTCGTTTCAGGTCTTAACAACAACCGTCAATATTCCGAAGTATTCGTTTCTCTAGTGTGCCTATCATTCTGCGTAACATGGTTCGTATATCGCCGTCAGCCATATGCATTCATTCTTCTCGACATAATCAACATTGCCCTGTGTATGCATGTATTGAAATGTCTTCGACTTCCAAGTCTCAAGTGGATATCTATTCTCATGTTATGCATGTTCATCTATGATGCCGGAATGGTTTTTGGAACACCTTATATAACATCGAATGGATGTTCCGTTATGCTGGAAGTGGCAACGGGGCTTAGTTGCTCAGCGAAGGAGAAAGGAAAAGGATATCCAATTCCACCAGTGGAGCAGGAATCTGTTCCAGAAAAGGTAGCTGAATCCAAGTTTTCAAGGATATAAAACTTGATATTATTTCAGTTTCCTATGCTGATGCAAGTAGCTCATTTCAATCCAATGAATGAATGTTTGGACATGGAAGTCGAGTTGGGATTTCAGTTTACTATACTTGGACTTGGTGACATCGTCATGCCGGGTATCATTTTTATTCAATTTCAATGTTTAATTCGTGAAAATGATTTCAGGATATCTTGTGGCGCATTGCTTCACAATGAACGGATACTCGGAAAGAAGTCGTTTGATCTATGGAATCGTGTCGATAGTGGGATACGGTGCTGGTTTGATAGTCACCTTCCTGGCATTGGCTTTGATGAAGACAGCTCAACCAGCACTTATTTATCTTGTCCCATCGACTCTCATTCCTATCATTCTCATGGCTGTTTGTCGTGGAGAATTCAAAAATATTTGGAATGGAGTGCCTGTGGATTCAGCGCCCTTGGTGAGCGACAGTGGTGATATGGTGGACGGAAATAAATCGGTAGGAGAGAAATTGATGTTCTAGTGTGAATTTTGTTTCTGAATCTGGTTTTTCAACTTGCACGAGCGTTATGAATTAGATCACCCTTTGATAATCTTCAATTCATTTTGCAGATCACAAACTCGTCGGCTGCGATGGAAACAGCATCTGATGAACTTGCTGAGTCCAACTCCACTAGTCAAGAAAATCAACCCGTGAACGTGTAGCGTTTTGTGTAAAAAACATAATCTCGAAAAACTTTCCAAGATGAAGCTTCAAAAACAAAGCCAAATTAAAACAAACATATATTTCTAGGTTTGAAATTATTCATTGCAAATATCTTCATGAAATCTCTCTCAAACTTTAACTTCATAATTGTCTCCGATTTATACGAGTACTTTTCTGTCCTATTTTTTTCTGTATCTAGTTACTTTTCCAAACTTTCCTGTTCAAAACAGAAAATGTGTCACCACGTCTGAAATAAAATTTGAACAACTCCGGTTAAGACTTTATTAGACATTCAGGTCTCATGCATTACAACAAATAAAGCAAGAATTTACACATAAGACATGGGGAATTTGTCCGTGAAAGTAGTCGAGAGCGGCACACGATCAATGGAGTTGGCGCCTGAAAATGAAAGACTGCATATGTTAAAGGAACGACAACTGACGGCCAAATGATAGAATATGTCTTTTCCAAATAACTGACAACTTCTTTCTTGTGATTGATACATTTGATTCTAGAATCGAGAAGATCAGCAACCTGAAGTGCAGCTTCAGCCACGGTTGAAAATCGGCGAAGGACATCAAATCTGCGGGACATGACGATGTTCGTTTGACGAACCGTTTCTTCGACAAACTGGAAAATGAACGATGATAATGGCATTATCTTGAATAGAGCTTACATTCGTCGGTTTAGTCGCGATTTCTCTATCTCCATTAACGGTAGTTTCAGATTCTGTTTTTACGGACACTTGCAGAACAGTGTTAGTTGAAGTAACAGAACTAATGCTAGACTTTCTTGAAGAGGAAGAAATTGACGATAAGGATGCGTTTTCATCGTCTTTCTGGTTACAGGGAATACCCATTCGAATCCGGTGTTCTGAAATTCGATTTTACCGAAAATTCTCGAGAACACCCGTACCAGTCTGCCGACTATTTCTGATATTGAAACCCTCGTTCTCCTTGAATTTTATGTCATCTGCGACAGCCCGCGAAACATCGGAGTATGCGGTCTGAATCGGGGAAAATCGTTCCAGATAGTGCTGTACATCAACTCACTAATAATTTATCAGCTTGCTCCTTAACGTACGAATAACCTTGAACACGAAAATCATTAAGTGTTCGAACTGTTTGATTAAGCATAGAAAGACGACTGTGCCATTCATAGACTGACTCTGACGCAGACAGATAATCAATCACCGGAATCTTAAATTTGGGAATTTCTTTAGTCTCTTAACAGGTTATAGACCTTTGGCAACGTCTTACTTCCATTCATGGATATCATAAAATAATCAACGGGCGTTTCAGCGGTCATGTTCGCAAACTTCTCCAAGCTGATTTCGATTTTTGTACCAACTTCGCCGGAGGCAGTTTTTAACTGAGTCATGAATTAATGATTGAAACGAAGATGAAACTAACCGCGAGTGGCTCGGCAGGTTTCATAAATTTTTTGTGTGGTGAGTGAACTCCTCGAAATGCGCAAGATCCACAAAAAACCTTCTCACGGCGATAGAAAAGGGATGGCGACAAAACAGGAACCGTCTGCTGAAGGGCGTAGCCACAATTTTCTTTGACACAAACGAATAATTGACTGTGTGGGGAATAAACGAAACAGGCAGAGCAAGCACTCATTGTGTCAGAGTAGGTCGAATATTCGGAGCTGGTATACTCGGAATTGATTTCAGAAACCGAGCAGCCTGAGACACTGTTATTTTGGACATCTTCATCACTGTACTGGTCAAAATTATCCGACTTCTTGCGGATGGTCACTGAAAAATACATACTTTCGGTTTTCATAACAGCTATAAGCTCAATACACATATTGTTTGACACTCCACCGATTCCGAGGAA